AGGCAACGTGCCCACCGGGAAAAAGATAAAAAAAAAAAAAAAAAAAAAAAGAGGATGGCCCGGTGCCAGGTTCACAGGATGTCAGTAACTCGCCACTCCCGGGGGACGGGAGCCTATCCTGCTCTGGAATCTTGGTCTTCTACTACTGAAGTCTTCCCCTGTCCTCTCTCACATCCCATCCCCACGCGTAGGGTTTTCTCATGGTGAACACAGTGAAGCAGCCCTGGAGTTCTGATGACTTTTTTTTTTTTAGTTTGCTATAGGGCATATGTACTAGCGGGAGAGAAACGGAGAGAGGGCAGGTGAAAATCACCCCCAGGGGGGATGGCCACGCCGCAACCCCTTCTCCACTCTCCTCTCAGGATTTTGGGGCATGCACACACACGCCTGGTGTGATTTTCAAGCGACCAGGTCTATGACTTGAATCGGGGTCGGCCACGTGGGATCCAGCCTTTACCCTGCACACCACCTGCTGGCCCAGATGACTTCTGCACCTGCACACGTGGGCGTGCCCGCCCGCTGGTCTGTGCTGCTTCCAGGCACTCCCACGGCCTCGCCTGCCCTCTCTACACATGCTGTCTGTCTTCATGTCCCAAATGCTTCAGAGTCCCCTTTCTGGGCCTTTGCACAAGCTGCTCCTCTTCCTCGAACACTGTCCCACAGCCTGCTTCACCGGCGACCCTCCTCCCGTTCCTGGATTCGGATTAGATGTTCCCTCCTCTGAGCAGCTTCCCCGACTGCCCATGTGGCTGGCACCCTTCCTCAGTGCTCCTTCGATGCACCCTGGCATCAGCTCAGCGCTGGCCGGGGCCCTGCCTCTGTGGGCATTTTGTGGCAGGGCTGCGTGGGGAGGGGAGCGCTCGTGCCCCTCCGGGCCCTGCCTGTAGGGCCCCTGCACTCGGCTCTGCTCTTCGCGGGCTGACGGGCTCACTCCGGCACCATCCCTGCCTTACCAGTCAGTGTGGGCCTCCACAGTTCCCTGCAGCTCTGTCTGCGCCGCTCTGCCTGGCACTTGTGCCCCTGGAGGCAGCCTTCAGTCCTGAGGCCGAGCCCCAGCACGCCCCTGCGTCTACACGAATGAGGTCTCTGAGGTCGGGGTCCCCCTGAGTGAGTGCATCCTCTCTGAGAAACTTCTAGAGGTTCTTCTCTCCCGGCTCTTCAGCCAGGGCCACGGCAGCATTTGGACCTGGGCCAAGTCCTGCTGCGTCAGAGGAGGGAGCCCAGGGGGCCCCTGTCCCCTCCTCTATACCCAGGGGGAGCGCTAAGGGCCACAGAGTAGACCACCCCAGCAGGGACCGCCCTCCTGACCTGTCCCCCAGGGGGAAGGCGGGGACTCACAAGGGAGGTGGGCGTGGAGGATGTACTGCTGGGCTCCATGTCAAACACCGTCTCGATCTCCTCCTCAGGCTGCAGGGAGAGAGGGGTAGGTCACAAGATGTGGGCATCTGCTCTGCGCCCCCTTCGGAGGAGCTCGGACCCCCACACCTGGTCCTTTTGCTCCCTGGAGCTCATTGTCTGTCTTTCCAGATTGTCAGCCAGCAGGCAGGATGAAGGCCAGGGGGACATAGCGAGGGCTGGAATACCAGAGAGAGCCTTCTGGAATGTTCCATGCCCAAGGACCACATGGGAGAAGTAGGTAGGGTGGGACTGGGGTTCAAAGAGAGGCCTGCGTTGACTCTAGGAAAAGCCTTGACCTCGGCACTGTTTTCTTTTGTCCTGAGATTTCCCTGCTGTATCTGGGATGAATCTTGAACCGTTATGGCCTCGGTCCATGGCTTTCTCCTTCTAGGCTGAACACAGAGCCAGCCAGGTGTATTAGAAAGAGCCAGAGGGGCCATTCCCTCTGGCCCATCCTTTGTGTGGTGCCAAGACGAGGTGAGGGAGGAGGGAAGCCAGGAGAGAGGACAGTGGGCACCCAGAGCCCCGGATACTGAGGTAAGAGAAGCCGCAAGGGCCTCCTCCTGAAGGCTCCCTCCTGACTCAGCAGGGTGCCAGAACTTAGAAGCAGCATCCCCTTTTCATATAAATTCACTGGAAAAGACACAATTCACTGATATAGACAAAACCCGTGCCAGTTGCTGTAAGGAGAACGTTAACTGGAAAGAGAACTATATAACCATGAAAATAAACCATGCTGGCTCCACTGGAAATTACTTCCGGGGCATAGTCTTTGGGAAGTGCTGACCGAGAGCACACACACATGGCCAGCGTGGCTCTCCAAGTGTGAAGGTTGGCTCCTTTCTCCCAGAGGCCTGATTGGCTGGGCTTACTGCCAAGGGCTCAAGAGCTGCAAGTTCAACACCCTGGCATTCTTTTTTTTTTAATCTTTAAATTTTTGCTATAGGGTGCATGTGCTCACCAGAGACAGAGACAGAGAGAGAGGGAGAATGAGAGAGCATGCCCCAGGGGAGATGGCCACGCTGCAGTCTCTTTTTCTCCACTCTTCTCTAGGGATTCTGAGCACACATGCACACGTACCTGGAGTGTTTCTCAACCCACTGGGTCTGGGACTTGGAACATGCTGTGTGGTATCCAGTGACTTAACCTTTATGCTCAACCTGGTTGCCCCCTTTTAAAAATTTTTATTTATTTATTTTTAAAATTTGCTAGAAGGTGGGGCTGGCAGGTGGCATGGTGGTTAAAGACGCTGGACTCTTACATGGCCAACTTCAGTTCAAGTCCTGGACCTTGAGGCTTTCTCTCTCTCTCTCTGTCCCTCTCTGGTCAAACTAGAATAAAGAAAGAAAAAAAGAAATGTTAAGTAAAATAATTCTTAAAAAAAAACCCAATTGCTAGCAGGTGTGTGTGATACCAGAGAGAGACTGAGACAGAGAGAGAGGGAAAGTGAGAAAGCACCTCCTATGGGCATGGTCATGCTACAATCCCTTTTCCTCTATTTCTCCCTCTTTTTTGGATTTTAGGCATGTATGCACATGTACCTGGCATATTTCTCAGCTGCAGGTCTGGGACTCTAATCCCCAGTGGCCATAAGCGATCCAGCCGCCTGAACTACCACGTCACTGTCTGGCCTCACACTGGGATTATTCAAGGTGAGAACATGACTCTCCTCCACCCCCAGGCCATCAGCAGGGATGTGCATGCACACTCCTTCACTCCACCCTCCCGCTGCCCTCCAGCCCCAGCAACGGTGTTCTCAGCTCGGTAGCTGGACTGGACTCTCACTGCAGAGGGGAGAGGCCCGCAGCCTCTGTTCAGAGGGCAGGAAGGGAGAGGGGCTGCCTCTGGACGGGGGCCAACGCCTGAGCTAGCGAAGGCACACATGCACACGGAGCTCACGCATGCCATGTCAGGGAGAAAGCCTATCGGTGCCCAGGCCAGCAGAGTGTCCTAGGGCTCCGTCCCTCAGGGGCTGGGGCACCAGGGGAGCATGGGCAGGCTGGCCACTCACCTCATAATCAATGTCCTTCTGAAGCTTCCCCAGAAAAGTGCCCAAAATGGCAATTACCATGGAAATGACAAGGGTGGACAGGGAGAAGAAGGTGATGGAGTGCAGAGAACCTGCCGAGGAGGAGAAAGGTGGGTGTAAAACCTGGAGCTGGAGCTGAGGAGCCAGACTGGCAGCTGCCTGAGGACCGTCTCAGCACCTCTTGGGGAATTCGAGCGTGGGGCAGAGACCTCCATTCAACTGTCCTCTGAGGGCAACTGGGGTCAATGAGCCTGACACAAAGACGACATCCCTCAGTTCAGAATGTGGCATCTTGTGGATTCCATGAAAGGCAGGCTTTGATTGATTTAAGTGTGGACTTAAGGGCCTATGCAATGTGTCTCCTCAGCCTGGTGGTGACCTCTGACACCCGGTCCCTGTGAAGTAGCTCCGAGTTACCGGTTCCGCTGCTGCCCCCAAACACAATCTCTGGCCCACATCTCTCCCTGCAAGCCCTTCGAGGAGCATGCTCGGTCATCTGTGCCAATGACACGGAAAGTGATCCGGAAGTAAAAAAGAAAAGGCGTTTACATTCTGTTTGGGGATAAAACAAAAACAAAAACTGCCTTTTTCATTTTTAGGGTTTTTGCCAGAGGGCGTGTATGCTTGCTGGAGATAGAAAGAGAGAAGTGAGAAAGTACTTCCCGGGGGGACGGTCATGAGGCAACCCCTTTTCCTCCATTCTCCTCTCAGGATTTTGGGCATGCACATATATACACTCCTGGCATAATTTTCAAGCTGCCAGGTCTAGGGCTTGAACTACAGTCAGCCATGTGGGAGTCCAGTGCCTTAACCACCATGCCACCCACTGGCTGTCCTAAAACTGCCTCTTCCAGGGAGGTAAGTACTGAACATCACAACTCTCGGTCAAAGGCCACTGCTTGGAGCGGTGTTTCTATGGTAGCAAAGAGGTCAACAGCCTCAATAGCCAGCTCTGGAGAACTGACAAGCAGAAGCTTTTAGCGCCGCCACTGAACGGTGTGTGTTCAGCCTTTCAGGAACACAGGAAATGCTCAGAACATAATGTTCCGTGAGCAGACCCAGGCTACAGGACTGGATGTCGTAACACGGGACCACACGTCTAAGTCCCGGCTGACCCACACACGCCCCGCTGGTTTGCTCCCTCCCCAGAGCACGTGCACAGCAGGATGGCTGCGAGCGGCAGGCACCAGCTCAAAAGGAATTGTGGGTAACTTAAGCTGGGTCTTTATCTTTGTTTTCTACTGTCGGTGATAAACATGTAGTCCTTTATCCTTTGGGGAAAAGTACTGAATGACAGGGAAAGGCGAGCAGGATAAGAAACTGGGGTGACAGCAAACGGATGAGCCTGACTGATGTCAGAGCAGATGGTTTACAGATGCCACTGGGACAGGGAGAGCGAAGAAAATACTCTCTCCCTTCTCTACCCCACAGAGGTCAAGGTCAGGTGTCCTGAGGGAAGGGCGGTGAGGTTGGAGGCTGCCTGGTGGCATGGGTGCCCCAGAGGGGAGACAGCTGAGGGGTTCAGAAGCCGTGGCCTATGGGGACTTCTGTGGGGGGGGCAGGGGTGTGTGTGCTGCCCAAGGCAGACGGCAGCTTTGTGGGGC